AGCCTTGACTTGTATAATATAGCGAATATTACAAATTATTTTTATGCAAATACATCTTTTCACGCCGTTTCTTTATAGCTACATGAAAGGAATAAGAACAAAGTGACACAAATAAACCAAGAAATACTTTTGATACATAATATATTTTTTAGGTTTTACTTTTGGTCTTAAGCTTTGCTATATATGACTTTATACATACATATAAGAAAAATTAAAGTTCTGAAATTTTACTATTAATCATTAAATTATTTCATTGGGAATGATTTTATCTCTAGACTTCTTTTATCTAATAGTTATTTTTACTTACTGTAGTAAGTAAACCATTACTTTAAAAATATTTCAAGCTTTCAGTCCTAAAAATACACATCCATTAAAATATAACAAATGAATATTTTTTGTTTCAACGGTTCGATTTCTCAGAAAAATACTTGACTATATAGAAAAAAAATATCGAAAATACAAAAACATTGCCGTGTGTTATTGGGATTTATCTAACATGATTGCTTGTTCTATTTTCACATTGCCTCAACACTGAATCTTATTTTAGTAGAGCTTACGCCTCAATTTTTAAAGATTTACCAGATTATGCCAGTTGAAGTGTTAAAGAAGGTATCAAACACTGTAGGTTTCTTTTGTATTTTTCTGTCACGTTTTATTTCATAAAAACTTACTTACATTACTTTATTACTTTCTGTTTAAGGCTTCACTCGCGTGTCTAGTTTCTTTTATCTTTTCTTTCTTCGTTTTATAGATAAGATCAGCTGCAAATTGTTGTTAAATTATTTAAATTAATTATATTTTATATTAAATTAACAAGTATTAATTGCAGGAACGTTAGTAGAATAAAAAGTATCGTATATTGTATTTAGTCTAAGATATGGCCTGTCCATGTACTTGTCTAACATATCTAAATCCGTTCAACGGTTTACGCGTGATTGAAATATCTTCACAAACTTTCATTTCTATAATATTAATAATAAGATACTTAGATGCCAAATAATGAAAATTACAATCTAAATTATAATATTCTGACTTAAAGCAAGTAAGTAATATATAATTAGCTGTTCTTAAATATCGTAGTGCACTCAGTGTAATAGGTGAATTTAAAAAAAAAGATATTTGCCTACCACTGTATCTGAGAATTTAAAAAGTATCATTACCAAACCTAAAATTTACGTAACTTGGCAGATTTATATTAACGTTTAAACAGTAAAATAATAAATGACTAGATTATTTTACTAGTAATTCATAAAACATTTAGAATAATCATAAGATTAAAGTTAAGATACTTCATTACCATTGTAAAGTTTTGGTAGTTCAACAAAGCCCGCGTAAGCAGCTTTGGTTCGAATTTAATTAAGCATCAAAGTGCAAATCACTGACTATTTAGAATCGAGTGTTTTACCCCATTCTTCTATTTTATGTATTTACTATGAAGTAACAGAAGTAGATACTTATAAATGTTAAAACTTTTATTTTTTTATGAATTATTTATTTGAAGTTGATATAAATTTTATAATGATTGTATTAAAAAAAGGACAACTTGGTCTAATTGAGTCAGGTGCGAAAAAGATAGGATTGGCAGATAGCGCAAATAGGCAAAACAGCCCAACATTGGCCTCGGGACTTCCTGATGGCTAACATAATATGTCCTAGGTATACCATGCGGGTTGTTTTTGGTACCTTTCTGATAGTGGGTCGAGCGAGCAATTTCCATGTTGTTGTGGTCTGCTTAGCTAGGTCAAACGATCCCCCCCAACGTGCGTTCACCTTGTCGTGGTGAGGGGGCTCAGTAGTGCCCGGCAATCCAACCGGGCGCGAAGCCAAGAAACGCACAGGGAGGTGACTCCCTTCGGTGGGTGGTGGGAGGTGGCCCTCTTTGGTGGGCGGTGTACCGTGCGGGTTGCTCCAGCTACTTCTCTGATAGCAGAGTGGACCTTGGAGTAACCCCATGGTTGTGGTGGTCTGCTTCCGCAGACCTGCCGTCGGGGCGTCGTAGATCCTGCGACACCTCATTAAGACGGGGGAAGGTTTTGTTGGGTTTTAGTGGGTAGTACTGGCTTTATTACGCCGGTGAGTCCCACACCTCGTGCGTAAATGCATTTCCCAACGTTAAAAAATAAAAAAAAGTAGGTCAAACGATGTGGCTAGCTTCATTGGTGTGGCCCTATTAAGACGGGCAAAGATCCGTTGGCTTGGTTTGGGTAGTAGGTACTGGTTTTTCTAGCTGGACATCACCTGTATGAATACGAGATACGTAAATGCGTAAATGCATTTTCCAATATTAATAAAAGAAAAAGACCAGGAAAATAGGTTTCAATCTTGTCTCTTTGCAAATACAACCACAATAATAAGATGAATTTCTATTGGAACATTATTTTATGAATATAACAGAGTAAACAAACAAAAGCGCTTGAAAAACTTTCTTCGTCACAAACGCTATATAATTGATCGTTACTGCAATATTCGTAGAGGCGACCTGTGTGGAATGTCCATAGTTCTGCATCGTAGTTTAACAAGTTTTGTTGTACTCATTATTGAGTTATCGAATTCCTACCGCTTTTGAACAGCTAGTTCGAAGACGGCTTGAAGGAAATAAGCGATTGTGTTTCGCAGGACTAGAAACTTTAAGCTATAGAAGTTGTATCTCTATATAACAGAACCGTATATATTAACGTATTCTTATTATTAATGTTAATATCAGTATAATATTTACGCCAAATTTCAAAAATTTTATTGAAATTTTAAGAGTAGGTATTTATTATATTTAGAAATTTTAAGAGAAAAAGAAAGGGTTGAAAAAAAATTGTCAAAAAAGTTGTAAAAAAGGTTTCGTGACTTTTTTTCCTCCGGTCAATATTAATCGAGTAAGGAAGGTTTTAAGTTTAAGGGATGAACGTAAATTTAAAAAACATCGTAGGAAGGTAAAAAAATAAGCGAATTTTATTTTTCTACCTTCACTTACAATTTTTTAAACCCTTTTGAAATATATATCATTGATAATTTTACACATCAATGCTTATAACGCTATCTATTGACATTTATTCGACCATAATTTCTTGGTTCGTGATGACACATGGTTGTACCACAGATCATATAATACTATACTAGACAGTACTAAATAACGATAAATAACTAAAGATAAAATGAACTACATGCATGCAATTCGCAAATTTATTGGGCTTATAGTAAACTTAGTGTAGAATAAAAAAAGTAACTTATATATTGAGAATATCTTATAGATGCTGGATAACTCAGAATTTTTCAGATGCAAAATTTGTGTTTACAATTCATCTCGTGCTCGGTGAGAACGAAAATATCGTGATGTCTCGGTAGAAATTCAAATACATGTCCATAGCTGCCAAATCGTAAGTGGAGGAGCGTGAAATGTCAAACTGTTATATTCTTCTTCTTTATTGTTATGTAAAGCAACGCCAATGTTATATATCCAGTGATAAATTATTCATATTTACTTTATTTATAAAAAAATATTAATAATTTTACAACTTTATACCAATTTATTTACAAAATAGAATAGAAAATTTATATTTAGCTAGCTTACTCACATTTTTTAATTTATTATTATGTAAAACTTAGAAACAGATATCCATACTAATATTATAAATGTGAAAGTGTGTTTGTTTGTCCTTAATTCACGTTAAAACAGAGTGACGGATTGACGTGGTTTTTTTGTGTGGAGATAGTTAGAGGGCTGGAGAGTGACATAGACTACTTATTACCGGGAGATTATCTCATTCCCACTGGAAAATACGTGTACAACCCAAAAAAAATTTTATGATCAGAATAACTTGAAACTTGGTATAAATGCTCTTCAATACAATTAAAGAAATGCGTGTTTTAGCATTTTTCGAAATACATCCAATAAGAGGATAAAATAGGGGATAAAACTGTGTTTCATACAAACCTACCTTTTTAGAATTTTATTTGTACTTTTAGCGCGGGTTCTGATAGTTTAATATACATGACAAATTTCAATTTTAATTAATATTATTTAAAGTACAATACAATTTGACGACACGTTTGGCTCAGTTTGTAGCGACCCTACTTGCTGTGCCGGCGGTCGCGGGTTCGAGTCCCGCTGGGGGCATTAATTTGTGTGATGAGCACGAATGTTTGTACTCTAGTCATGGGTGTTTATATTTATAATATGTATGTATCTAAAGTTATATATGTGTATGTATCAACTATCTGGTATCCATAACACAAGCCTCGTAGCTTACCATGGAACTAGATGGTGCTGTGTGTTAATGTCCCAACATATATATATATATATATATATATATATATTCTCTTATTTCGTTCTATATATATATATATATATATATATATATAAATATCTTTAAAAAATGTAATGTTGACAATATATGTCATTGTATATGTACACACATATTTTATTTTGTACACAAATGAAATTTGCAACTATCACACACTCTGTAATTATAAGGAAATGTTATAATAATGAGAGACTAATAGGATAATCACCTCTTGACAATATAAAGTCGTCGGGCACAAATCAATTAACAGAACCAATTTGTCCCAAGTCTCCTAATGAATTAAACCCCTTGATATCTGACCGACCGCTTATATCGAGTTGAGAATTGAAATCAAATTAGAATCTATCGAATACTCGTCTTTAATTAGGTCAAACAGAATGGAAACGCCTTTTTAATATGAATTTGTTATGTTTATATCGAGGCATTTTAATAAAATTAAAGAACATACTCATTCTATGAACTCAATAATAAAGCTTATTTAGTTCTGTTGTGTAGCTGACTTACTCTATTACGCGAGGGATGCGAGTTCGATTTCCGAATAACGGCAATATTGGGATAGCTAAATCAGTTAAAATGAAATCAAAAAAATAACTTATAATAGAAAATGAATTCTTATTATTAGCAAATATATTATAATGTTCACTTAAAATTCAAATTTGCTAGCGTTTCAAGCATTTCAATCTGCTTTTAATTTACAACTCGTTACAAAGATAACGCTGCTACTTCACAAAATGCAGCTTCATCTCCATTTCGTTCAGAATAAGTTTTTCCATTGAATACAAATTCCGAAAATGGTACTGTCAAATGCACCGTAAAGTTTAATGCTTTACCGACTTTTCGAGAAGCTTCTGACGTCCAAATCGCTTGACAAATTTTAGGATGTTTCTTAATAAGGTTTCGATTCTTCAAATGAGAATATTTAGGACCAAGATCTTCTACTTTGATTGGTGCTACTGGACCATCTTGGAATTTTCTAGCAATATCTATGGAGATTTGACATAACAAAGTTGCCAACTTCTGTTTTCTGTGTTCTCTTAGTGTTGCCAGGAACATGATCTCCAAACTGCAGTCAACTTTGTATCTGGAGATAAAAATAGTGCCCTTATAATAACATTTATATTTACGTAGTTGTTTAGGAGTTTGAAACATTGTAGACAAACTTAACAAGCTTAATAAATTCATTTCTATCTTATTTACGTAGATTTATAATTTTTAAATAAAACAATCTACAAACGCTTAGTTTTTTTTATATTTATACTATTAAAATAATGCTACGTAAATTAAAATTAAAACAAAACCGCCGTCACAGAAAAACAAGCAGAAATAAATGTTTATGATTTTAACTCTATTTTTTTATACTAACTCCTATCTGATAATAATTATTTTGCTGATTTATTTTTACATTAAAAGGTCACTAAACCCAAATTTAAAGGGATTGCCAGTAGTCATTGAATAGTTCCTCTATCTAGTTCTAAGTTCTATCGACGTATCGGCTCCAAGATACAAAATGAACAACGAAATACTGTCCTCGACAATTGATAAACAAAAGATCGTTAAGAGTCTTAGATTTGTTATTATCCTTATAGATGATCCTGTTTTCTTAAAACAATGTGTTCCATGCTAACGAAAATTATATGGAACATATCTTTCTATCTTTTAGTTTGGGACATGAACGAAGGTGGTTAATTCGTTCATGGTTTGGAATATACATATCTTTATAGAATATAATTTAAAACACCCAGACCGGCCAGGCCATCTCCAAGAAGTTTAAACATACATAAAAAATAAATCGCTTTGAACATAGTCCCTCCTCAATTTTGTAGACGTTTACTCTTCATTAATTCATTTGACGTCGAATATAAAACAATATTACAGCAACAGGGAATAAATTAAAAACGCTTTTTGTGTCCAGCTCCTACTGTAAAATTAAATTCATAATCTTATATAGTAAAATGCACTCACTTTTCGAATAAGTTGCATCTACCGTCAACGTCAGCCATAAATTGTATGAGCGAACGTGACGAAGCCTGTGTACAGCGTTCGTCGGCAAATATTTCAAAGAATGGCTTCTCTGAGACATCGGACGTTTTAACCTGTAAATTAATTTGATTTTGCAGTTAATTCCGTTATTTTATTGTTATATTATTATTTTTTTACTTAAGCTTAAAAATTATTAATTCCTTTTTGTTATCGAAAAATTGCCGTGTTTATATCTGTATTAGGTATTATTATTATAAATGTGTTTGTTACTCTTTCACGCCAGAACGGCTGAACGGATCTGGATGAAATTTGGCACATAGATAGATTATAGTCTACAAAAACACATAGGCTTCTTTTTATCCAGGAAAAACGTACGGTTCCCGTGGGATACTTTTGTTTTTGTTTTCCTAGAGGCGAACCCGAGCGAAGCAAGGGTGAGCCGCTAGTTCTAAATAATTGTGCCAAAATTATTTGCGAAAGACCTATAACTAATTAACCAACTTATCAATAGTCAATTATATACTACTGAGAAGCTTTCTCGCTATAATAATATTGTAAATACGAAAATGTGTTTTCAACGAAATGAAAACGTTAATATTCGGTTTGTTGATTTTTGCTTTACTTAAACAGAATCTAAAGAGCAGACCGACATCTTCGTAAATGTCACCTCATTTGTAGAGATGTCGGACTCAGTGTCGGTCTCGGTTCTATCAGGATTATATGTAGTCGTAACTTCTTTATTGCACTTTAAAAAATAGATTTCACATTGAAAAAGTCAAAGGTAAACGTCTTTTCTAAATATCTTTTCCAGTCAACCTATGAGAATAAAAACTAAATTTTGCCCGTGGCTTCGCTCGCATGGTGAGCAGGACTATTCGTACCCATGATACTACATTTTATGTCGTTTCAAGCCAAATGTCACCGAAACCTGTTCAGCAGTATATACGACGTTTTCACTATCACTACATATTATAAAAAAAGTCCCTCCGCCGCACTGTATGTATGTCTGTCTAAACATCTGTTTGTATATCTATCTGTCTAGACGCGATAAGCTAAAAAACTGCCAAATGGATTTTCATACAGTTTTCATCAATGGACGGAGTGATCTATGAGGAAATTTGTGTAAATTGGCTAAAATATAACGATGGTTGTAGAAGATGTCGAAAAAAATCATGCCAACTGGAAGCTTTACCGACGTGTGTCACATAAACTAATCGAGTTATATGAAAGCAATGTATTACAGAATTATTCGTACATCGAGTTAAACGATAGAAAGTTGTTAATACTTCATAAAATAAGAAAACTTAATAAAATATACATAAAATACATATTATAGAATTATTTTACTTGATTTATATTAATTATACTAGCATTGCCTGCGGCTCTGCCCGCGTTCAGATGACCAAAAACCAAATCGCAGTTTTTGTATTTTTTCTCAGAAATGAGACATTTTTCCGCGGTAAAAAGTATCCTATATGGGGATAATCAGCTATCACCATACCAAGTTTAATCAAAATCCCTCCAGTGGGTTTTCTGCGATACGGTAACGGACAGACAGACAGACAAACAAAAATTCTAAAAATTATAGATTCGGCCTCTGTATCGATGATAATTTTTATTTCAATAAGATTTTCAAAAAAATATTTAATGTACAGATCATCGGCTTAGTTACAATTTTATTATATGTATAGGTAATATGCAGAAATAAATGCAATTAACTAACTTGGATCTTATTAAAAGCAACTGCTGCCACCTCCCCTGTATCCACCGCGACAGCGATCGCAGACACGCCGTCTAGTGCTGCGTCAGCGCATAGCTCTAACAATTCCTCTATCGCTTCTGGGTTTTTATTCACCTCCGATCCTATTGATACAGTTTCATCTTGACAAAAAGCATCCCTTATTACCTGAGAACATACTACTTTTATTTTAAACTTTCATATATGTTACTGATATTTTCATGTATCATAAAATAAGTTATATTTTAAGAGTTGCCTACATCTCCATAATGATAGCTTCATCATAAATTATCATAAAAGCTTCGTTTGATCAACAAATAGTAAAGTAATATATAGTGTACAATTAATACTTTTTTGTGGTATATTTTCGTGTTATTTTTCATTTAGTTTTCAGTTTTTACTTAAAGAAGTGAAAGTAAGAGGGTTTCACCACCCACATTTATGATCTTTTCTGAAAAACAACTAGCATTTAATTGTTTTATTGAAGTAAATGTAGAGTATTTTCTATTTTAGTTGAAACTAATACGATTAGTCACCTACTCACCCTCAGAGCGCTGGGAAATGTTGCTGGAGACAGGGACTCTATCCTGTATTTTCCTGAAATTCAGACATTGTAAAGCAATTTATATATGAACTCTAAGAAATGGTATTACAGGCAAATACTAAAATATTAACATTGTTTAATAGACGCTATTTCGACTACATTTGTTATTGAAGAATAAATACTTCAATTTCATTAAAGTAATATAACAAATAAATGAGACAAAAGCAGATTTAATATGTTTTGATTAATATATTGTAAAATCAGACAGTATGTATGTATCTATTAATTGTTCTGAGTCTGTCTAGATCGAAAATAGCTGTACGGATATTAATGTATCTCTTTTTGTTTTATATATCTGTCGGAGGAGGATTTAGTTACCTTTTTCTGCTCGAATGCAAAACCTTATTTATTATTTTTTAAAGTCACTATGTTATTTAGTTTAATTTTTAAATTCTAATTAAGAATCAATGCTAATAAAATAAATTGAAATAATTCATAAATATTTTTTTTTGTATTTTCAAAAAAATAATAATTAAAAAAATTGAAACTTTATCGAAACTTTACCTGTTTTATGCAAAATTTCAATAATAGTATGTTTTTATATCCGTATTTAATAAAAACGACGTTATTTATAAATTCATCGGCATACCTAGTAAATATTGAAATATTATCGACACAATGAGGAAATTCGACTACTTTTCAGTTATTTGACTAAAATTCTTGAACGAATTTCCAATAATTTACCTCATCGTCAAGAATGCTTGTGAAAGTTAAGAATTTTATATGCGCAAATCATATACCTACTCACAAAAACCTTATAGAAAATAAGCATATTAATACAAGTATATTAATACTCTAAAGGTTCGATAATGAAAAAGGATCAGATATTTTCATCATTTGTAAACCTTTTTGTGGATTCTCTACCCACGCACGTATGGAAATAATATACCAGCGAAAAGATATCGATATCAAATATGTGCTTAGTATATCGCTCTTATCTCTTATATTTTCAGTTTAATCTTCTATTATTATATGCTCTTAACTATATACATTTATAACAGTAGTGTTCGACCAATGGTCGAAATTGACGAAAATTTGAGGAAAACATGATGTATGAATAATTTTTTGATGGATAAATATAAAGCTCATTAAAAGCTACAAAAATAAAAAGAAAATCAGTTGACAAACAGAAGAGAAAAGGGTAACGAACTGAATCTTTTATCCATATATATATTGTGTATTATACTTTCTTAGTACTTTCTTATATTTACGCGAATATTTGACATTTTAAATAAAACTACCTTTTTTGATTATTTCGCGGATTTATTTTGATTTTTAGTTCCCGATGTTTCGAATACTTTACAGCAATCATGGTCACGGGAGAGACTAAGGTTATAGATGATAGCCGATGCAAAGCAAATCTAATATATTTGGATACGTAAAATACATATTTACCTATTAGATATTCATATCTTAAAATATTGTAGGCTGGCACCGACTTTGAAAATATTTGATTAGGTATCTATTCTAGATGAAAACCTCCGTTTAGTTATTTTTTACATTTAGTGCCTGGAAGTCGGTTTTTACTTTTTGTTAAAAAGTTTTTATTTTTCAATTTTTAGTGTAGACGTAATAAGCAGGTAATTTTTAAGAAGAAAGTTTTTAATAACATATTCGATTAAACAATTTATTTAAAAAAATATTTATTGTTGATTTTTTAAAATACCGCTTGACCGATTTTGATAAAATTTATATGGGACCACCTGGGAAGTAATACCCTTTGAAACAAAAAAAAATCCGAATCGTTTCAGGCGTCTTCGAGTAGGGGTGGATATACATAAAAAAAAGATTCCGACGAATTGAGAACCTCCTCCTTTTTGGAAGTCGGCTAAAAAGATGCTATAGTGCGCAAGTTAGTTAGCATTCTCTATTCCATTTGTTACGAATAGAGAGGATCACTAAGAAAACTATAATATAACACCATCCGTGTGAGATCAGGCGAATGATTGATGGCTTTTCACGCTCTCCGAGGCACAGGGGTTGACCTAACACTGACAACTTTCCACGTCAAGGCTGCTATTTAAAATTTATTGACTGAAAGTAAGATTAGGCGAGTTTATCAAATGTTTTCGAAATTATAAAACAAAATTTTCAATTTAATAAAGATCTCAATATAACGTTCATCGAGTTAGAACTAATTTACCATCCTATAGAATATTAAAAGTGATTTTAACTGTTCCGTTCAGCCAATGTTCGGATAGTAATTAAAAAAAAGTATCCTATATGTTGAAAAAGAAAAAAAGCAAAAGAAAAAGTATCCTATATGTTGATCCGGATAACCACCTACCATCATACTAAATTTCACCAAAATCCCTCCAGTGGTTTTTCCGTGATGCGGTAACAGACAGACAGACTAAAATTCTAAAAACTATAGATTCGGTCTCTGTATTGATAATAATGTCTATTACAATAAGATTTTCCAAAAAATCTGGAATAGACGCAAAGGCCTAGATAGATTTCTTAACGACATAATTATGTCATAAGTGTCGTAAATCTAAATGATGATTCGGTAATAATGTTTGAGTATTTGATGAAATAGGCCCTTAGTGAGGAGCAAATAATTTTCACCAAATTATGTGTTGTTTTGTCTCTAGATGACTTGCTAATGCGTCACGTAAACGTTAAAACTCTCATTACGTGCATAGAAAAACACAATAAGTGTACTTGGCCCAGATCGAGATTCTAACTTAGAACAGCAAAACCTTAAGCTATAAATAAGATCTATAAAATAATAACGTAATAAAAATCGTTATATTCAAATTCATATAGAAACTTATTATGTACATATATTAGCTGTTGTAGTTGTTTAGATAAAAAGTAATAATTTTTTTATATTAAAATTTCTCTTTTCACACTATAGTATATGTTAAAGGCAAAGTTTTTGAGCGCTTAGTATGAATTTCAAGGACATTTCAAAAATCTAAGTAAAAGAACGAACTCTATACAGTCTCACGAATTATACTAAATCTTTAATTTACGTTTAGAGGTTTTAGGGTATTCTTGATAGATAGATAGATAGATACTTTATTGTACACATCAAAGAAATATACAAAAATAAGATATAAACAATAGATAATACACAGGAGGCGGCCTTATCGCTATAAGCAATCTCTTCCAGGCAACCTTAGGGCGTAGGAGAAATTATATGAAAGGGTAGGCGGTGTACTTACTACACACAATTGCATCTCCTAAATACATATAATAATATTCTAATAAGTACAATTTAACTTTCACAGACCTGTATTTGTTTTTAATAATAAATTTTAAAGAGACTTACCGTCTTTTGTTTTCATCCATTCCATTTTCAATACCAAACAATAATTGTACACAATATGATTACAGATTATTTTTAACTTACACCGGCGCACGCGACGATATCACACGCTCTACTGATTGTCGAATGACGATTAGTGACAAGGAGTAACGTTGACTTTGTATGTCAGTTCACTATTGATATGACTTATATATATATATATATATATATATATATATATATATATATATATATATATATATATATATTAACTCACCCTCGCTTTGCTCGGGTTCATTCCTAGTTACATTTTACTGTTTAGTATAGATTTCTCAGAGATGAGATATTCTCCCGCAGTAAAAAGTATCCGATATGTTGACCCGGATAATCACCTATCACCATACAAAATTTCATCAAAATCCCTCCAGTGGTTTTTTTGTGATGCGGTAACAGACAGACAAACATTCTAAAGACTGTAGATTCGGCCTCTGTATCGATAATAATGTCTATTTCAATAAGATTTTCCAAAAAATATTTAATGTACAGATTTGGCTTAGTTACAATTTTATTATATGTATAGATTTCTTATTTCAAAATAAAATCTATCGCTTACTCTTAAAATTAGGTACATGGGCGATACTTCGTTCTTGTGTCTGTCTGTCACAACCGAATTTTCTCTGAACGAAAATAGATACAATAGAGCTCGGTATCCCAAATGGTAAAATGTGAATAAATTATTTCTATTTTAAGGGTACTTTGACTTTACTCATAACTAGTTTTTCCTCGGCTCTGAACGCGTAGTTCAACTATTTATCTTGATTATCATAATTTAAATACATTGTAAATTATAGATATTTATATAATTAATTATAATTTGTTAATTGTATTAATGCTATATTTTTATTTAATTTATTTACGCTAATGATTAATCTAGAATATTAATCCCTCTACGACCGCGAACGCGCCGGCATTACAGTTAACAATAGCTTTCTTAGAAACTTAATTAATTTCTTAGAAATTTACCTGGAGGTGTTAATTACTATGTTTTTAAAATCTTCATAATTGTGAAAACGAAGACAAGGATATGCAAGTTCTGTTTGCTTTTCAACGGTTTTGCTGTATTTTAATTATTTCAATACTTAAATCATTTCTTATAAAACGTATAATAACCACTAGCAAACCTTATTAAAAAAAATAAAAAAAATGTATTACTACATACATAGTATACCTATAAATGTTATAACTTATGTATTACTTTGATGTATATTACAACAAAGTTTCATCAAAATTAGTTTAGAAGTTTTTGCTTGAAAGTAGCAAACATCTATTCATACAAACAATTTATAATAATATTAGTAGGATTTACAGGAAAAAACACCCTATTAATATTTTTGATCAAATTACAGCTTCTTTTTTCTTAGCGATCAGTCATCCATGAGCATGTTCGAGTACTTTGATTTTAAAAAATGTAGATAATAAGTTAACTTCACTACTTAGTAGTATGTACAAATCTTTTATCAACAATAATTCAGTTTTTTTTTTATATAAAAATCTGAAGAGACTTTTTAAATATCTACTAACCGGCTTTGGCCACTCAAAGGTCAACTAAAATGTCAATCGCAAATTGCATTAGCGTTTTATATTAGGTTTTTACATTATTTTCTAAGCTTTTAAATTATTATATGTACCAAAAATTTTATTTCTATAAAAAAATATATATAACTATGAGTATTACAATAATGGCAAAAACAAAACAACGATAGCAAATACACTGTAACAACAAACATCTTTTGTAGCAAAAGATACTTTGTAATAGGTGATAAGATTTTGTTAAAATCGTAATTTCAATAGAACTTGTTTACATAATAGCATTTGAAGTCAAAGTCACCGTTGTGAAGGCCAAGCATTATGTAAATGACAGACGAATTTTGAGCAGCCGCTACAAATGCTGCTCCATTTTCTTCTAAAGTAGAATAAGATCTTCCAATATAATATTTTAAACCATTCAAGTCGTGTTTTTATAAAGTAATATTTTTTTTTAACTAATTTACCTTTTAAAATTAAATTACCTAACAGTTACAAGTCTATACTATACTACTCTAGCTTATATTCTACTAGCGGTTCACCTCTAGAAAAACAAAAGCAGATCTATCCCACGGGAACCGTACATTTTTCCTGGATAAAAAGTAACATTTGTATTATTCTGGTGTATGAGCTATATTATTGTAGGGTTATATATAATAATCTAACGTTGTAACCGTAATAACTAGCGAGATAAATCTTTATGATATTAGGTACTTGTTGCTTAAACCATATGCTCGCTTTACAAGCTCCATGAGTAGCAATTGCTAATCCCAATCTTTTCAACACAGGTATAAAGAACTCGATGCTCCCTCGATATATCTCCATTTTACTGTGTGAAAATCGAAATAGTGACGTTCTACAATCTACATAAACGGAATTACTCTAACCACAGAGTGAACCATGCAATTTTCTAAATTAATTTATCTACAATATGTATAGTTGCTACAATTTAAATTATATGTACAATATTGCACAATATACTCATTAAGTTAATTAAAAACGATGACTAATTTTCTACTGCCTGCATATTCACGTATGGATATCTATATGAACAATAACGACAAAACATAAAGCTACTAAATGCCAGGTGACTTCTAAATGGGTGACTTGGTAGTAACTAGATGAAGAACTGTTGCAGAAACTAAGGTAAACTATTTGTTCGGAACAGATGAAAGAAAATCGTGTACTCGATAATGATTGTAAAAAAAAACTCGATTAAAGAGATTGTCAAAGTAAAATTGTTATAAATAAGGTTTTTGTAAAGATCTAAAAGACCTGGAAAGTAAAAAAATATTAAATACTAGCGACTCATATATTATTATTTTGAAAGGTTAATATGGAATAAAAAACTCTTTAAAAGACAAAAACAAATATAATATTCAAAAAAATACCGTACATTTTTCCGGTTAAAAAGTAACCTATGTGTTATTCCAGACTATAATTTATCTCTCTTCCAAGCATCCAGATCCATTCAGCCGTTGTGGTGTGATTGAGTAACCAACAACCATCCATCCAAACTTTTGAATTTATAATATTAATAGAATAAAACATTTTCCGCATTATATTAATGTTCGTCTTTAATATTTATTTTTAATCAGATACTTGCTATTAATATGTATACAGACAGAATAAAAATCTTTTTAAATAAAAAATTGCATTGATTTTAAAATTACATAAACAGTAATTATTTTACTGTGATAAACATTAAAACAAACACAGACATCGATTTATAAGAAGTGAAGATTTCGCATTGTATATAATTAACAAACATTTGCCGAAATAATAATCCCTTTTTAAGTCGGTTAAAAATACGTCATTGTTATTATGGCACATGATATATGATCTCCTTACAATATCTTTGGCCATATATTGAAAAATCGATCAAGAACAAGTCTAACTCGATTTTTCACCCCTCGCTTACCTGTAGAGTGCCACCCCTAGTCTTTTTTTATACCCCTAGTATTCATACGAGACACCTTTCCAGCCCATACCGGTGGTTATTCAACGACGATGATATTATAAAAGTTAACGTTTTTACTCCTTATTGCTGACCCCTAAAAAGATATTTTTAAATAGAATTTTGTACTGGGTCTACATATTTTATTCTTTCTTATATCAGTCTAAGATAAGCAAGCTACTTCTGTGTCTTTCATAGAAATCGATTTTCCTGAATGGGCAAACAATAAAATTATGTTCTTTAAAAAATTAAACAGCATAATACTTACAATTATTCCAAATAAAAGCTTTAACTCAAATTTTTCCTTTCTAGATTATAATTGGGTTTCGTTATTCGTATTTCATTTACTTCATTTTGCTCAAGAAGTTCTACTGAGATAATGGAGATAAATTACTCTGACTCAGAAACTTTGTTTTGTTATTACTTTGTTATATTTTTTATTTATATTTATATGAAATATACATGCAAATGAGTTAATAAAGATGCCATCGGTATTCGATACTATGTAAATTTGATGAATATAAATTTCATGGCTTTTTTAGTTGCAAAGCCTTGAACATAGATAATTTTAATGACTATTTCTATATATAAAGACTACTTTGTGTGTTTTTTTACAAAGTCCTTTATTTAACTTGACTTTGCACATTGTTTTAAATAGTTGAATATATATAATTTTTGAATGTATACATTACAACTCATTTATACTTGTACATACAGAAAACTAAGGAGTTCAATACGCGTACAAGTGTAAAGTAAATAATGACGACTTTAGATGATGCGATGATACTTTGTCAATCTTACTTGTCTTCCGGATATTATATTACTGCAGTACTTTCTATACTGGATGTTTAGTAATGTATGTCTAGACAACTGCTCAGGAGATATTATAGTGCACAAGTGTAGGATAAGTGAGAAACTAGGTACAGTTCTATTATATAAAATATTTAGAATTAGAGTCCAAAACAATTTTAAAGGAGCATCACTTCATCAGGTCATCACCATGTTTATGTAGGACCACCACGTGACTATATACTTTCAAATAAAAAAAGAATCACTCAAATCGATCAACAAGTTTCAGAATAAGAGGTGCTGATATTTCGAAAATAATAGATATGTTAAAAACCCCCAATGTTGTCCTTCAAAACCTGTCCTGGTCGGTGAAGTACTTTTTTGCAAATTAACTATAAACAATGCCAAATATTTTGAATCACAGTCAATTTTGCTCCACTTATTTAAGGAGTTCCGTCACCTATTTCCGAAACTCATTATCAGATCATCTCCATATTCCTTTCGTATGGAACCACGTACATAGACTCTTTTAAAAAGCAAGAATCACGCAAATTGGCTTAAAGACCTTAGAGTTTTTGATGTACATACATACTTACATACAAAATAAAGGAAACATACCAACCGAATATATTATAATCTCCTCCTTTAGGAAGTCGGTTAAAAACAAAGAAAGAATGATGTTTTAGATATATAATCTATATAAATCTATATAAAATACT